AAGATCTGGTGAAAGTTTTGAACAACCCCTACAACTTCAGGGAAGTGCTGCAGGTGTTACTGATAGTGTTTTATTAATGATATATCCTTGTTACAGAAATGGCAGGCCAGCCAAGAAACAAATACCACTTGGAGGGTTGGAGTACTCAGGTTTATTATGCTGGTGGGCTCAGTGGGGCTCTCGCTCCGGAGCTCTGAGCACCCTCGGGAAGTGTAAGTGAGGTTTTACAGGGTTGCTTACAAGCTCGGGGTCCATCAACCAACAGGGTGAGTACAGCTAGGCAGTATAAAGCGGAAACAAAGGGTCGCCTGCAAACTCGGGGTCCACCAACCAGTAAGGTGAGTACAGCTAGGCAGTATCATAAAAGCGGAAGCAAAGGGTCGCTTGCAGTAACCCGAAACCAGTCCAAGGTAAGACTTAAAATTCATGAGTTAGCCCAGCCCAGACTTGGCCCACAACCTTTTCCTTCTCATCCTAACTGTATAGTTTAGGCGCATCTGATGTGACAGCGTGCATGTTGAGTATACATAACCCTCTGTAACATTAAAAGGGGCTTTTTAATTAAATGTTTTTCCCATCACCAAAAGGGAGGAAAGAAGTTAGACCAAGTTCTTGGAAATATTGCGGTAGTGTTTATGCTTATTCTTGGTGCCCCAGGGAACCCTGTATGCTCCTGACTCTGCCTACACTCAGGGACTCCATCTCCTCTTCTTGCCTCTGACCCACTCAGAACGCAGCCCTTTGTTTCTAGACATCAGGAGCCAACTGGAGAAACCAGTCTATCTTTGTATTCTCGTGGGCAACATGAGCTTCTGCAAAGGGTGGTTAAATCTCCAGAGGGGTTTTATGTATTAGTGTAGGATTATGAAGGGTTAATCATCAATTTTTAGACTCTGAAATCTAATGGAGAAGACATTTCCTTAGATTTATATCTAAGAATTTCATTTTTTGAGGTGCTAGTATAAATGGTATTTTTAAAAATTTCAATTCCACTCATTCATTACTAATAAATTCAATTTAAAAAAAAGTGTTTTTTTTTACCAGTTTTCAGTCCGGGGACCTGGCCTGCATTCTATATATTCCTGAGTAATTCAATGCATTTCAAAGATGTGTTCTACTCAAGAATGGTGGGAATCACTCGAATGAGTGAACTGTGAACTAGACTGTGCTGGCTGTAGCATAAGTTCTCCACCTTTTGGTAGGAGCATGACCATTAATTCAGTTTTGTGAAGAACCACATTCATGCTGATGATTAAGTATATTTTAGACTGTTAAAGGAAACCATCTCTTCATGAAATATTTCTTCATATACTCAGTGTATACCAGATTCATGGTTCATTTTGTAAACAATGTGAAAGTCCCAAGGTAAATAGAGAGAGAGTAAATTAATACCAATAATATTGATGATAATCATTAGAACAAAATGATAGCAGTAATATGTATAAGTTAAAAGAAATTAATATTCATAATTACAGCATATAAAATATTATACAATAATACAGTAACACATCATATATTAATTGTATTACTATTGAATATTCATCATATGATATAATATGATATGATATATGATATGATATAGAGGCAAAACTATGGATCTTAAAAAGATCAGTGGTTTCTAGAGATTGGGTTTGGAGAGAGGGATGAATAGGTAGAGCACAGAGGATTTTTAGAACTATGAAAATAACCTTGTGTGATACAACAATAATGGATTACATGGCATTATACATTTGCTTAAAAGCGTAGAATGTACAACACCAAGAGTGATCCCTGTTGGGGAACATTTGGTGGGCTGGTGACACAGGTTGGTAAGAAAAATTTAGCAGAAAGGGAGAAGTTTAAGAACAAAGGAAAGGTTTAATAGTTAAGCTGCTACAGGCGACAGCAGGCCACACAGGCAAGAGGTGCCTGCGTGTCCACCCTTTGTGAACGTGCAGGGTCTTTTATTGAGGAAGGGGCTGTGAACACAATGGGATGGGGAATAGATTGGCTACAAGTGAGGTAAAGGGCTTTGGTATAAGGGAGGATAGTGGATTTACGACTCCAGTAAGATGGAGACATGGGCTGACACAATGAATGTAGTGGAATTTATGATTCCGATAAGGAGGAGATGTGGGCTGAGACAAGTCAGCCTGAGCTACGGTGAAGCTAGTCATTTCCCAGGGCTGTTACCCTGGGAAGGCCAATACCTGTTAGGATTTTATCTTCTGAAGAGGAGCAGGCCGACTTCTAAGGGCTGGAAGTTTATTGGGTGCAGGGCCTTGGCAGGCACCAATTGGCACTGCAATCCTTGAGATTATGATGTGTCAATGTAGGTTTATCAAATGTAACAAATAAATATACCACTCTAGGGGATGTTAATGGGTGAGGCTATACGTGTATGGAGCCAAAGAGTATTTGGGAATCTCTGTACCTTCCTCTCAGTTTTGCTGTGTGAGAATCTAAACATGCTCCAAAACAAAGCAAAAAAACCAAAAAACAAAAAACAACCTTGGAAAAAAATAGCCATTTAAAACAAATTTGCATGCATTGTGATGAAGGTGTTAATGAATCAAGCTGTTCGGGGAATGAAAAAGAAATTGTCTGAACAGGACAAGCCTTACTGATCACTTCTCATAACAGTCAGGCAAACTCCCTAGTTTTAGACAAGAAGCACCTGCTTTTAACACATATTTTTGACAAAGAGACTGGATGGTGAGATAAGATGAAGATATTAAAGAATAGAGAAGTCAGAATGTAGAGTCAGAGAACATGAGGGGAAAAAAAGGTCTGGAAAGATGAGGGAGCGGCTTTGAAATAGACTATAAGATCCAAAGGATGACAGAGCTGGCTAAAGGACCAAAAATAAAGTCAACATTACCACTTCTTGGCAGTGGAACCCTTTTCTCATTGAAAATCACATAAAATGTAGATGCAGTAATCTAGGTGAAAAGAGCTTCAAAGCCTCATTAATCTCTGTCATACGCACCTTCCTATCCACAGTAGTTGTTAAAATCCCTTTTTATGGTCTTAGAACGTCCTGGAGAAGAATTTTAAAAAGAGACGGTCTAGAGAAACAGTTTCACTAAAGTTGAGATGGCTAAAAGGTAACGGACCCCCATTTTGAAAGTAAACAATGAGAAGGAGCAGGGAATGTAAAATAAATCGCTGAACACGTTCAGTGTGACTCTGTGATCAAAACCAGCGCAAACATTCCTTCCACTGAGACATTTAATTCAAGATGAGAACTAGAGAGGTATTTCATATGGAATAGTTACTCAGTAAATGTTTTCAGATTTGATTTTGTCAAGTCATAAAATGCAAAAAAAAATTGAAGAATTTTCACTTGATACTCTTGCACTCAGAATATCCAGTATTGAGGGAGAGAATCAGTGTACACAATACGTGGGGTAGTGCCCAGAGTCAGAGTGTATGTATTGTTAGCTGATTTGAAGGCCACTGGCTGACTGAACCTTGTATGAGGGAACATAGATTCAGTGTCCAAGAATAGAGTTTAACTCATTGGTTTCAATTTCAGTAGAAGGACTTCTCTATATTACATGAATGAGAGCAGGAAGAAATACGGCAAGTCTAACTCCATGGGAAAAGAAAGACTGTGTTACTTTTCCCTTTATAACGTTCAGATTCAATGAAAGGTTACACACAAATGGAGAAATACTGATTCTACAGGTAATCTGTCTGAGAAAGAGGTTACTCTGGAGGGGTTTGGGAAGTGTAAAAGATCAACCTGGGGAATTAATAGGCTCAATCAGTACATTAAAAATGCATTTTTTGGCAACAACAAATGTTGATGAGAATGCAGAGAAACTGGTCATCATACCTTGTTGGTGAGAATGTAAAATGGTACAGGTACTCTGGAAGAGTTTGGCAATTTTTTATAAAAGTGAACATGCTGTTACCGTACAACCTAGCACTCTTGGGCATTTACTTCAGAAAAATAGACTTATGTTCACACAAAAAACCCAAACACAATTGTTCATGTAATAGCTAAAAGCTGGAATTAACCAAGATGTCCTTCAACCAGTGAATGATTTAACAAACAGTGATGTATATATAACATGGAATACTACTCAGCAATAAAAATGGACAGACTATTGATAGAAGCAACAAGTTGAATGAAGCCAAAGGAATTATACTGAGTGATAAAATCCAATCCTAGAAGGTTTATACTATACAATTCTATTTATATAACACCATTTAAATGGTAAACTTTTAGAAATGGAAGACAGATTACTGGTGGCCAAGTCTTAGGTACTAAGGACAGTGAGAATGGAAGGGAGGTGGATGTGGTTATAAAAGGGCAAAAGGGGAAGATTTTTGTGTTGAAACCACTTAATATCTTAGAGAAGACACAAACCTACACAGGTGATAAAATTATTTGGAACTTAATATACACATGCATGTGCACAAACACACACACACAAGTGAGAACAAGCAAACGTGGGGAAGTATGAGTCGGATTAGTGAATGTACGAATGTCAGTATCCTGGTTGTGCAAAATATTACCACTGAAGGAAACTGGAAAAAATATACAAAGGATCTCTAAATTATATCTTATAACAGCATTTTAATCTATAATTATTTAATAGAAATTTAAATAAAATGTATATTTTCGTGAAGACTAAAGACAGAATCAGCCTTTTTGCTGTTATTTTTAAAAGTTAATTGTGTTCAATCCAGCATCTTTTCTACTATAGTTACAAAATCAATTAAATTATACACATTGATGAGAATGAAGGCAATTATGAGAAATATTTGCTTTCTCAGGAATTGTGTTCCCTCATCATGGAATAAGAGTGTACCTTTCATAGGAATTCTTCCTTTTCACTCAGGAGCTTATCTATGCTGCTTGCAAATAGCATCAAAGTGTTGTACCTTTTTGAGACAAAAACATCTTGCAAAGAACATAAAATGTGCATGTGTTTCTCTCGCTTTTTCCACTCAGTAATATACAAAATAACTAAAGAAAGAAATCAAGTCCCCCGACTAGTTATGAAGATGATGAGTGATTATCCTAAACCTCAGTTACCTCCTTTGAGGGTGAACTATGGTTACTGTTTTTTTGTTCTCACTGGATATGTACCCTCAGACTCCCAGGGTATCTTCTTTTCTTAACTTTGTAGGTATGTGTTTAGGAAGCAGTCTCACAAAAAGTTATTAACTGGGGTATAGGTATGTGTGCAAATCTGTTGCAAATGAATAAAAATAATTACAATAAAGTAACATAAAATAAGGTAATAAAATATAAATTCAAATGTATAAATCTCTGATCAAATTTCACTGCCTGGAGGAATAAAAGATGAAACTTGTGTACCCTTTTGGAGGTTTTTTCAAATAATAATAGTTAATATTGGTTGAGAATGGATATGTATCAGGCACTGTGTCAGAGACTTACATGTATTTTCTTATTTAATCTTCACAGTATCCCTACAAAGAAGGTATTATCATTATTTCCATATTCATTCTGCAAATGAGGAAAGTAAAGAACAGAGAGGTAGGTAATTTTTCCAAGGTCACCCATGTAGTATATTGCATAGTTAATCCACTTTTTGTTGATAATTGGGAGTTTGTTATTTTTCTGCATCATAGCTGAAACCAAAAATATCTGTGAGCTTTATGCCTCAAACTTCCTCCCTTCATCCCAACCTAATCCTGTCGAAAACACCTAGGCGATTTTATAAACTCAAACTTCTTAGAAATGCGTTGGCGGATTTGCTTGGTCTTGATGCTGTAGACAATGGGATTCATGAGAGGTGGGACCAGTAGATACACATAAGACATGAGGAGGTGTACAATGCGGGGTAGATGTTCACCAAAGCGGTGCACAAGGGACAAGCCAATCATGGGGATGTAGAAGAGCAGCACAGCACAGATATGGGAGACACAGGTGTTGAGGGCCCGGAGTCGCTCCTGGCGGGAGGCAATGCTGAGCACGGTGCGGAGGATCAGGGCATAGGAGAGGAAGATGAGCAGTGAATCCACACCTACGGTGCAGGCCACAACAAAAAGCCCGTAGATGTGATTGACAATGATGCTAGAGCAGGCCAGCTTCATGATCTCTAGGTGCAGACAGTAAGCATGGGCCAGCACATGGGAGCGGCAGTACTGGAAGCGCTTAAGGAGGAATGGCAGAGGGAAGATGAGCAGTGCACTTCTACACACCGAGCTCAGCCCCATCCTGACAATACGTGCAGGTGTCAAGACTGTGGAGTAACGCAGTGGGTTGCAGATGGCCACATAGCAGTCAATGGACATGGACAGTAGAACTGAAGACTCCACTAGGGACAAGGTATGGATGAAGAAGAGCTGAATGAAACAGGCAGGGATACCAATTTCTCTGGCATCAAACCAGAAGATGCCCATCACAGTGGGCAGTGTAGAAAGGCAAAGGCCCAGGTCCGTAAGGGCCAGCATGGCCAAGAAATAGTACATGGGTTCGTGGAGTGTGACATCAGTCCGGATGACGTGGAGGATGATAAGGTTTCCTACAATAACTATCAAATAGATGGAGCAGAAGGGAATAGATATCCAGACGTGGAGCTCTTCCAGACCTTGGAAGCCGGTCAGGAAGAAAGTGGCTTTTTGGAGGCTGTTATTATAAAGGATTGTCATGACTTTACAAACTTGAGTTCACCAACCTGCAGTATAGAATGGGATTCCTGGATAGTGACAGGGCTGAATTCTCACTTGCCTAAGTAAGTGTCCTGGGATCAGTGAGTTAGGAAGGGTCTGCATATGAAATGGGAAATAAGTAGGGGAGCCTTTTCTGGAGGGTCTAGGAAGGGGATTTCTATGGCCACACTACCCAGAGCAATCTACAGATTTATTACAATCCCTATCAGAATACCCAGGACATTTTTTCACAGAAGTAGAACAAGTCATCCTAAAATTTACATGGAATCACAAAAGACCCAGAATTGCCAAAACAATACTGAAGAGAAAGAACAAAGCTGGAGGAAAAACCCTCCCAGGCTTCAGACAATTCTATAGAGCTACAGGCATCAAAACAGTGTGGTACCATAACCATAAACAGATATGGAGCAACAGAACAGAATAGAGAGCCCAGAAATAAACCCACACACCTATGGCCAATTAATCTTAAGACAAAAGAGGCAAGAATATACAATGGAGAAAAGAGAGTCTCTTTGGCAAGTGATGTTGAGAAAGCTGGGCAGCCACATGTAAATCACGGAAATTAGAACACACCTTCACACCGCACACAAAAATAAACTCAAAATGGCATAAAGATGTAAACATTAGACATGACACTATAAAACTCTTAGAAGAAAACATAGGCAAAACATTATCCAACATAAATCTTAGCAATGTTCTACCCAGGCAATAGAAATAAAAATGAGAATATAGGGGAT